ATTTACAATAGCCAGGATATGAAAGCAATCTGGGTGTCAACAATGAATGAAAGGATGAAGAAGAGGTGGTAGATGTACACAATGGAATATTACTCAGCTATAAAAAAAGAACAAAATCTTGCCATTCACAAATATATGAATAGATGTAGAGGGTACTGTGCTGAGAGAAGTAAATTAGATAAAGACAAATTCCATTATGACTTTACTTGCATATGGAATCTAAAGAACAAAATAAATGAATGTAGAAAACAAACTCAGAGATACAGAGAACATCTTGATGGCTGCCAGATGGGAGGAGGGTTGGGAGGGTGTGAAAAATGGAAAAGAATTAAGAAGCACAAATTAGTAGTTACAAAATAGTCTTGGGGAAGTAAAGTATAGCATAAGGAATATTGTAATAAATACATATGGTGCCAGGTGGGTACTAGAGTAATTGTGGAAACACTTCATAAATTATATAAATGTCCAATCACTATGTTATATACCTGAAACTAATATAATATTATATGTCTGCTATAATCGAAAAAAAAAGTCCAAGTACAGATATTATAATACAAAAACCTACCACTCATTCTTTAGATTTAAAATGCAACTATCCTTCATTTTAAAAATAGAGTCCCGAATATATCTGAATAAAAACAATAAAGCTTTATAACAAAGTGCTAGATGAAATGTAGGCATTGTCATTATCATGTTCATCAAGGTCAAAAATCCTGTTTGATAAAAATATTTATTCCAAAAATAAAATAGAGGTCTTGTGGAACTTGCTGTCCTACCTCACTGATCCTGAGAAGGTAGGCAGAGAAATATGAACCACTCACTAGCTTTGCCACTTATTCAGGACATAGAGAAGCTCATTTGATACCTTGCTTCTCTGAGATACTTTCCTCACATGCAAAATAGATCTAAAGTCTTCTACTGAGCATCTATTGGAAACGGATAATTTCCCAGATTTCTTCCACATCTAAAATGTCAATTATGAGAGGATGTCCAGCATAAAGCCCAAATGATATTTAGGAGCCTTTCTTCCATATTACATTTAGATCATATATAATTAGGATACTCATAAATATTAAGAATCCATCATGAACAACTAGTTGTAAATACATAAAATAAAAATTGTGCTTATTCCCAGCAAATTATAAGGCAAATATTTTACATTTGTATATACCTGTATACATACATACACATTCCTATACTATATACAATTACATTAGCTATATAGATAAGTACATATTAAATAGCTAATATGTGTCCAATGACACATACATGCATTTATGACAACAACCAGAAAAGTATGTAAGTGGCCAAGTGGACCATGTTTTAATAATGGTTAAGTTTTCCATTCCAGGAAACACATGTTCTGTTATACCTATGCAATTTTTATCATTTGTCTTTGCACAGAGTATCAGTTAAAAAGTCACGATATTAATGTACTTATATCCTGGAGATATTAAACTGCTTCTGAATTTGAAATTAACTTGAGTATTGGATAATATTAATAAATTTATATTGATAATATTTTAGGTAATGATAATGGTGTCTTGGTTAAAGTTTCTACAAACCATCTTTACCTTTGAAAATTATATACTGAAATAATTATGGGTGAAATGATGTGATCTGCTTTGAAAATAATTCAGGGTTGGAGGGGAAGAAACAGGCAAGGGTGAGGGCAGAGATAAAATAAGATTGGCTATGAGTTAATAACTGTTGCAACATGAGAGATTATTACATTACCCTTTCTGCTTTTAAGTATGTTTGGAATTCTCCAAAATAAAATAAAAACTCCTTCTGATGTGAACTCAAACAAATCTATCTTCCAATTATGTTAGGATACCATCCATGTTGTTTACATTAGTAGTATTTGCTAACAACAAAAAAGGACACAGTGAAGCATGTTCTTCTGACTGTCAAAGGAAAATTAAAATATAACCTATAAATACGTGACTAATGAATTTAGGAAATTTGCATTATATTGTCATGAAATTTGCAGAGGAAATTCAAAGGGCTGTATAGCATTATGTTTATACTTCCTAATCGACTTATGAAAATAACTTTAGTTAAAGCTCATCACTCATCATTCTTTTAATTATGTACAAGCAAGTTTTACAACAAGCTTGGTCAGAGTGAATAAAAAAGGTAGGGCTCCAGTTACACATAAGCTATCATCATTTTTTTTTTCCAGAAACACTGATTTTAAGCAGTTCTGGATGAATATATATAGCAATACATATGTAGATACATTTACCTGAAGGAATCCATCAGGTAATTACATTGCTTTGGCAATGTAATATTGGTTATCAGATATTTCAGGTACGGATGTGACAATAAGATACATAAAATTTCCAATTTGAAATAGTCTATATGTTGCCCTCGTATTATATGCACATTCTAGAAACTCAAATATTCTCATAACCAAATTATATAGTCAGATTGTTTCTTATAAGCTTGAGGAAAATCCTTTACCAAACCATATATCCTGTTTGTATCGGGAGAATATTATCACTGTATTTAGTGGAGTGAGGAATGAGGTGGCATTTGTTGAAAACCTACTAGGTATTCGGACATGTCTCTTTTATCTGGATAATTGATATCCGTCATTTAGTTTCAACAGAAATATCACCTCCTCAATAAAATTTCCTTGGATTTATCTCCTCCTTACTAGACTGGAGTAATAGTCTATATTCCCCATTTCATAACACTTTTCACAATTACATTTATGGAATAAATATGTGATTTTTAAAAATATTTCTCTCCCACTAGACTACAAGGTCCAAGAGGCCAGAGATCGTGTCAGTCTTGCTCACCACTGCAGTTCCAGTCCCTAGCACAGAATCTAGGGCACTGATTATCAACCCTGGCTGTACCTAAGTCATCTGAGAGCACTAAAAAATTCTGATGCCTGGACTCCACTGCTAGAGGTTCTAATATAATTGATATAAATGAGGTAGAGGACAGCAATTGATAGTCTTTAAAAATACCAAGGGGATTCGGATTCTGATGGGCACTCAACGTTTAGAGTCTTGCCTAACAGAGCAGATTCAATAAATAAATATGCAATGCCCTCTAAAAATACCCTCAGAGACTACAGACTATCTATATAATTTGATATTATTTTCACTTGCTAAAACTATAAAATAATTAATGATATTAATAGGAATTTTGATGTGGCATCAAAAAAGAGATATTTGGGTTTTCCAAAAATCAAGACTAGAAAAAAAAAGAATCACAGCTAGAAAGTACTCAAATCTACACCAACTAATTCAGAACAAAACTATGCTGTAATAAATGATGTGATCTCTTCATTATACTTCCTTCTGTTCCAGGACTGTTCTCATGTTATTTCATTTACTCCCGGACACCTTAATAAGTATCAGTATGTCTTATTTTATGCAATCGATTTGGCATCTCGGGCCACTTGCAACTGCATTTGCCAAGGTCACTAACAAAAGCCTCAGTGCTAAACCTAAACGACGTCTCTATACCTTATTCATCTTTTAAAACTCTTGATTATTCCTCTCCTCTTTGCTTTTATAACATTATACCCTCCTGTTTCCCTCCTAGCACCATGACCATCCCTTCTTTGTCTCTTGCTGACTTTTCTTCTACTAGCCCAGTAAATACTGCTCCCCAAGACCCTGTCTTAAGTTTGCTTCTTTTTCTCATCTTTTTGGGTGAAAGCATCAACTCCCAGGGACCACCTATATGCAGACAACTTTCAAATCTCTCTCTCTTTAAATCTAACTATCTAGCATGTAAGACAACTCCAAATTAACCTTTCCAAACAAAAAGGAAAAAATTGTTTTTCTCCTCTATGTTCCCTAACTCAGTGGCGCCATCATCCTAACTAGCTGCAGAGGTCAGATGTCAGATTCTGAACATCTCTCGAATCCATCCACCCCCTTCTTCACATCCACCACCTTCATGGCAGGCGAGATGCCTGAATCATCATAGCAGACTTCTAACCAGCTTCAATGATCCAGTTTTGCATCTTCTCATTCATTCGCCACATGGAAGCAAGAGTTGTCTTCTAAAACATAAATTTCATCAGGTCTTTCCCTTGCTTCTAACCCTTAATGGCTCCCCTGATGCCTTCTGGATAAAGTCCAAACCCCATGAGGTAGCTAACAAAGTCCAGGCTTAAAAAGTAGCATACTGTATTCTACTAGTCACTTTCCTTGTCCATCTCTCCCACTATTTTGTGAGCCTCATGAGAGCCAGGCTCTTGTCTCCCACACTGACCACTGTTTTCTTAGCACCTAACAGTGGCTGGCACATAGCAGGCATTCAGGACATTCAGTGTTTGTGGGTTGACAGAACTGCATGTGAATGCAGCTGTGACTTCTTCCTTCAAACTTACCTCAGGGACCTTGCTAAGATTGTTCCTTTTTTCAGGACGGAGTGGGCAGAGCAGACCACTTCACATCCTTTCAGTTCCTAGCTAACATGGAACATTCTTTGAGACATCTTCCCAAACTGGCCATCTAAAGTATTCTCCTCAGTTCTTCTCTCTTAGAATACCATTATTTTTCTTTATATCACTTGCCACAACTTTGTTTTTGGTTAGTTACATGTTAATTCCTTGTGGGACCATGCCTCTTTTATTCACCACAGTATCTCTGTACATGGCATAGTGCCTGGTACATAGCAGTGCTCAGCATATATTTGAAAAATATAATAAGTGGACTATTAGCATTTATCAAGGACTAATATCAGTTCTAATATTATGCTGTTTCCCACAAAAGTTTAACTGTTTTCTAAACCAAACCTTTGTTAATACTGCCAGTCAACCACAGTAATAGGCATATTTAAAGAGTTTTCACTCTTCCCTGTTCTGTTATTCAGGTATAATACTTACCAGAGGCCAAAAAGCAAACAAACAAAAATGCCCTAGATAACAGATATCAAGAAAATTGACTAATTATTCCTTTAATCATTAAGCGTTTCCACAATGTGACAATAAGAAATGGCATAATGCGCTGGAAGAAAAGTGGCCTTGCCTTTCAAGTCTTGAACATAGCCCTCTTTGCAGCTGTGCATGAGCTGAAGGATCCACCTGTGTTGAGCTCCAATACACTGCCAAGCAGGGTCACCTGGTGAATGAAGATCAGACAGGTACCTGAAAAAGCAAGGCCAAAGCTGACCAATAGGTTTCCTCTATACGGGAAAAAAATAAAGACAAAAGGAAAGCTAGCATATTTCGAAATTATCACTTTTTTAAAATAAAACCTAAATTTTTATCAATTGGCAAAGCAGCTGTCAATGAGTCACTAATAATTAGTTCTAAATAAAATACATTCAAACCTGTTTTCATGCACTTAACAAATAACAATAAAGCTGTATTTAAAAAAAAATTAGGACTTTATAAAATGACAACAAAGAACACGAAGACAACTAACGATCCTATGTACTCAATGAGAACTTATCTTTATATGTATTTACATTTAGTTCACAGAGTGTTTCTACTTAGTTCTGTCATTATAGAAAACACAGATGGGAGCCAGCAGAGGATATCTAGTGAGTAATTTTTTGATTTTTTTTATTCCTTTTCAATTGTTTTTTATTCCTTTTTGGTCTGAAATACAGCCAGTAGATGGCAGTGTGATACTGTTTTCTACATAATCAAAACAAGAGGCAACTGAAACTCAAGACCATTTTATCACATGAAGAGATTTGGTAATACAAGCACTTACCCCTAAGTCTAAACTCAAATTCATGACCGAGAAAATATTTTTCTAGAACATATAATATAGAGATGGGCATTATACACAGTTTTAATATAGTTCTTAAAATATTTAGTCATCTTTGTATATAAAATATCCAAACCCAGATAGACAACTGAAATAGATTTATTTCTGTCAACTATTCAAGATTTGGCACTCAGCCCTCAGAAAATATATAAATATAACAAATCAAATTAAAACAACTCCAAAAGCTGAATTTATTGTCTTAAAATTATTTTTAAACCATAAGCTGTCTTACAGTTAAAGAATTTTGTTCAATGATAAATTGTAATTAATGGTTACAACTGTAACCAAATCTTAATCACTTAGAGAATCACTTTATGCTTTTCTCCCATGTTTCTACATCACTGAGTATTTCCTTACTCATAGGCATCCCAATTAGCAACTAACTAATAGGAGGAGAAATATTTTGTGATAAGTTAGCAATAAATAAAACATTGAGAAGAAATCTGACATCACATTTAGAAACTATTCACCGTGACCCTGATCGTCACAGGCTAACGGAGATGGCCTGGTTTCTGAGGAGAACTGAGTATTTGATTAACCTGAAAAAAGGCCCTTCAGCAGCCTGGCTCACACTGCACAGGGCTGACCCTGAGAGCTGGCCCTTTGCCTCCTCCCCGTGACTATGTACAGGCTACAAATAGGTTGTGTCTGTATTGAGAAAGTGGCAATTCAATTAACAGCATCCCAAGAAAAAAACTATAATCTAACAAATAACATTTAGCTCGGCATAAATAATTCATTTCAAAGCTTTCAAAACTCAGTCTGATTCTTCCTCTCTCACAAGGCTTTCCTCTTTAATTGACTGGTATATAAACATGACAATTAGTAGGTTGTGTCATTTCTCCAGAAAACATGTCATTTTATTCTTTCTTAGTGGGGAGAATTTGTTTTAGCATTCCCTTTGGGTAGGTTTATTTTGCCTCCAAATACTTCTTCAGTACTTTCTCCTATCACTTTCACTCATATAACATCCTCAGATTTTATATTAGTTGTAATATATAGGAATATCCTTTCAGGAAAGCTGCTTCCTTTTAGTTTTTAAATACTGAATAAAAATGTAAATGATCCATTATAAAGGCTTTTTCTCGAGCAGTACAGCAATAAGCATTTTTTGCTTAGTAACTTTTAAAATTGTAAGTCTCTTTAGTATGGTTACTAGGTTCTTCCAAATTTTAATAATAATTCTCTTCCTATTATCTTATTAATAAGTATTACATTAAAAATTGTATAAAGGATAAATATGTTCTCTCAGAAATTTCAGTGTTTCAACTCAAAAATACAACCTGTGCTAGGCTTGTCCTTGGTTACATGACTTAATCCAGTAACTTTTTTCTTTTCTTTCAGTAAGTAGCTTAAAAATAAGTACTAGTTTCATTTTGCAGATATTTGTTAGAATATGATACATGCTATTGCCATTTCTTTTAAAATTGCTCATTAAAGAATACTTTTTAAAAAACTTTAGGGGAAAATTTAAAATATTTGATAATGAGCATAGGCTCAATATTTTAAAATTTAAGAATTACAGTTTTTAGCTATATTATGACACAATTTTTAATAATTACCAGGGATAAGATCACACTGACACAGAAGGAATATATCAAACTTTGCTTCTCACTAAAGCTACATGGATCAAGACAGAATAATGAGTAAAAATAATCAGAAAGTTTTTAATTAGATAAAATAGAGAACAAAATATAATACAGTAGTAATCTGATTTTCTCTTATATCATGTATAACTTCAATTATGTAAGAGAACGAGAGATGTATTAGAGATGTATTTCTGTTGATGATAAAGCTGTCTCTGTCCCCATGCGGTGCTCACCTGGTTGTGATGTTATTTTTCCTATTGATTAATAACTAAAAACTTAATTTACAAAGGATAATAGAATTGCTCAGTGTCTTCTCAAAGCATCAAAAATAAAATGATTAAAAATTAACTACTGGACATATTTATCAAAATTTTTTTTCCTTTAAAATAATAGGGAGAAAAGCATTTCAATACATCATTTAAAAGAATCTTTTTTTAACACCCATCATCTTTAAAACGATATCTAATAGGTTAGTCATAAGAATTACAGTTATCTATAATCAATGGTAATTCACTACATAAAGAAATCATACACTCAATAAAATTTAACATATTATCAGCAAATTTAATAGATGTCAACAAGAAAATAAATACAAAGCACAATCAGCAGAACACAGATATGACACTGACCAACTGGATCCTGGACCAGATGATTAACATTCCCGGAACACTACCTCTTTTTACATTAAAAAAAAAAAAAAGCAGTTGGATAACGTAAAGTTTATTTCCAACTTTAAGTTTCTACAATTCTACAAGCCAGAAAAATCCCAAAATACATTCTTCATTTTGAAGGCTGCTTAGAGAAAAGCAAATATAGGCTTTGAGAGCCAACAAATGGGAGTACTACTTCTAGCTGTGTGCACTGCACAGGCAATAAAATCTGAGGCTCAGGCTCCTCACCAGTATAACAGTACAAATGCCCCTGTGTGGTGGCTTGGAGGATTTGAAATAATATACAAAGTGCATCTAGCATGGGTGTCCGGGTGCAATACAAAAGCTCAGTAGTGGCACGAGTTGATTTTAGTGCTCTCTACTCCACTGCTAAAGCCTCCTCTTCCTTTCCTGTTCAGCAACATGAATGTGCTACAATGACAATGGCTTATGCTCCTACTGTGCTCTTGCATTACTAGGAATATGGGTTTGAATATGGAGCCTTGTCTCCTCCACAAGTACAAACACAGCAGCTTTCAGGTCAGAACCTCTTTCCATACCTAGAAATGATTTTCAATGGTCACATAGTAATGACAACCAAATGCATAAATATATGTAGTTATCATTTTATATAACTATGAAATATTCAATAAACTTCTGTAATTAAAGTGGGAAGGTATTAAGTTTGAATAACAGCCTATTCTGAGAATAAAGGTCACATTCAAAATATGCCAGCAGAAAATAAAGTTAATATTTTTAAATCATAGATACAAAAAGCTTATAATTTATATGTTTTGTCTCCAAATCCTGATATAAACACTATATGTATGTAACACTATGTATATTTATGTAATTTATCAACTAATGATGTGCCTGGTGCTATATTAAATTCTTAAAAGTATCCTTAATTATCTTTGCAATTACCCTAAGATGTAGATTGTGTCAATATGTCCATTCATTTCACAGATGAATAAATTTAAAAAGAAAACTTAAACCAGTCACCCAAAGTGAATAACTGGTTCCCATTATCCTATACTACTCCCCTCTAAGGCCTTTTCATCATATTCCGTGATATATTACTTTCATTATTACTGTTATTATTTTTTTTTTTTTACATTTCTAACTTTCTTTTCAAGACTAAAATCTTTCAGAATTTTATCTACTATTGAGCCACAGCCCACTCCTGTGGCATGAAGAATTTCCTACACAGTGTGTGACAGTACTGTACTCTAAACCATACAGGGAACACCTGCTCTGTAGCTTGTGGGTATCCACAAGGTGCATTACCCTTACCATCCAGTTAGGTAAGCCCTTGTTGAGCAGGAGGAAGAGGTGACTAAGCAATAAGGCTACTTTTCCTTACCCCAAACTGGCAAAATTTTCTTGCCTTTACAGAGCAAGTATTTGCAAATGCATTAATATACAAAAGAATTTTGGTGTCCTACATTATATACTAAGTGTCTTCCCTTTCACCATTTCATCAATCGTCTAATTTTCCCCAAATTAGCTTTAAGAGTCCGATGAAGTATCCAGCACTGTACAGATGTATGCGATTTGTGAAAATTCTTACAGAAGGTTTACCTTATATAACGTTTTTGGTCATGTAACGTCGATGGTGTCTCAAGCAATTTATCCAGAAGTAATTCTCTTAAAGCTTCAATCCGTGTTTCTACTTCAGCATAATCTATTTTTTTAAAAAAGGAAAGAACATACAAGATTTACAGAATGGAAATTTAAAATCAAATTATGGAAAGAAAAAACAGTGGCTGCCTTTGGGGTTATAGGGGTTTACTGAAAAGAGGCTCAACAGAACTTTCTGGGGAGATGAAAATATTCTGTCTAGGGTGTGAGTTACATGGGTATGTGCATTTGACTGTGTACTTCACTGAATGTAAATTTACGATAAAAAAATTTACAATAAAAAATTTACAGTAAAAAAATTCAGTTTCTGAATACTTATGGATTTGAGATTCACAAATTTAATAAAGCCTTGTGATATTTCTTCTAGTTGATAAAGCATCACCATAGGACATTTTAGGCTTTTCTTATTTTCTGTAAATCTGCCATTAGAGATCATTTCAAAAGTTGTTTAGTTTAATTCATAAATATATTGATCTTTCTGAAGAGGAAAGATTCAAATGTAGGTTTTCGTCTCTATAAAATCTTTATAACTGATTCTTTCCAATAAAAAAGATTTTTTAATAACATCATGGTTACAAGTGGCAAAGAATGTCCAAGATTAACCTATCCTACAGTTGTGGTTACTCATTTTCACTACATCTTAGTAGGAAAAGCCATAATGTTATTTTTGAGGTAATTGTTCTAAATTTTAAAAAAAGTTCCATATAAAGAAAACTAAAACACATGTAACATTCTTTATAGAATACATTCCACATTCCTCCTGTAAAAGAAAAGTAGATGATCTACAAACAATAAACAAATCTTACATTTCTTGAAAACTCGCACCTCCGTTTTCCCAAAAAGTGACTTGGCCTTTTCATAATCATTAATGACCACATCATAATCACCCTTTAAAATAAAGAAACATTTTGGAGACTATCAGTAAAGCATAGTGAAGACATTTGGTTAAGATAAAAAATATGTTCACAACTCTTTAAAATTTATGACATCTATAACCACAGGTATATAAATATGTACGTTACCTTTTGAATATTCCTTTCAATATTTAGAGGAAGATTGAAAAGAAACTTAAATCGTTGGAGCACATTGAGTGCATTTCTAGTGGAATCTGCCTTGTCCTTTCGACCTAATACTTCTTGAAATAATGTGTCCGCAGTATTACTTGCTCCTATTTTAAAAGGAAAAAAAATTAACTTAGATAAAAATTGATTTTATTTAGAAAATGTGTAACTGGACAAAAGAAACAAAATGTTAGACTGCTATTATAGCTTTACATTAAAACTCAATAAACAGTTTCAAAAGTTAGCTATATGGGAGATCTTTCATGGTTTGCTAAGTCTTCTCTTATGTTAAGAATGATATCCAATTAAAATAACCATATTTACCAGGGCCACATAAATTTCTAATGTGAACCTACATTTACTTTAGCTACTCTTCTAAATTTTAGGGCAATTAGGGACCCTTAGGTTAATTCATTAATTCAGACAATGTGTTAAAATACACACATATACACATATGCACATACACTAAATTCCCTGGATTCAATATCTCCATATATGGTAACAAACAAAACAAGGAAAATATTTTTTAGAAAAGTTGTTCAAAAGAAATATTTTAGAACCAATCTTATTCTTTGATAAAATTATCTCTTTACACAGCAGGCACAAAATTTACATGAGCATTAAAATAACAAATTCTAACAGTATCACCATTAATGAATCTTTCTTAAATTGGCTAATTATTATAATATTATACACAAACTGGACATGTTATATATATATATAGATAGATAGATAGATTGATTGATATAGATATAGATATGTGTGTGTATATGTAATTTTTTAACCTTAAAGACTTCAAATTATAGGAATCACTATAATGAAAGTTGCTTTATCTAAAGCGAAATTTACTGTGTCAAAATAGTTAAACCTTTTCAACTTGTGAATTATTTTTAATTAGCCACAAGAGGAGAAAAAGAATAAATTGTTTTCAGCTGTTTGATCACTGCTCATAAAAAGTTTCTACATTATCTGGTCTAGTGACTATACTTTAAGCAAAGATGAAAAAATTACCTCAGTCTCACTGGGTGGCTTGCATGCCATATTCTCTAGTCCACAATGTGGGTGGCCTGATCTTGTTAAAAGTCGTCTTTGTAACATAATTGTTTTATCTAAATAATGCTTGAATTCTGTTGAAATTTTAAAAGCCTGATGTAAAAATTTTGTTTTGTCAAGCTCGCTACTTTCACCACTTTCTATTTAATGCTGACTATTAAATTTCCACTATAAGATGAGAAAAAAAAAATATTCTCTTCCTGCTACCAAACCACATAATAATGGCTAAATGAATATTTAAAATATGATTAGGGTGAAAACTTTTTTTCTGCAAAGAAAATTATCATATAAAAATAGAAACTTTATGAACTGAAGCTTCATAAATGAATATATATGTGAATGAGATTAAATATTTTAAAAGGTTAATTACTTATGTGTGAGCTGTGGATGTTAAATCCCCAAGCACTTTTTTTAATATACAATGAAAAGACTTGGGGCAAAAATTATGAGTTCAAAATAAGATTTTTCTCATCTTCTTTTAAAGATAATAAAAAATACCAACCAACAATTTAGCGCCTCTAAAAAGTATGAAAACAAGTAAGGTAGAAAATCCATACATAATTAAATAAAATATAAACACTTTATAGAGAAAAATTTGTAGGCAGAAATTATAAACTATAAAATTATAATTTTATTTATACAAAAATGTATATAGAAAATTTTAATTTGTGCAGAGAAAATATAATCATAATTTACATAACTTGTCCATAAATTATTCTGTTGTGGATTTTATTGAATTCACAAAATAGAATTTTGGTAATTCATAACTCTTTAGTTACTGAACAATTATATCCAGTAATAAAATAAATGAGGGCAGTGAAACCAAGATTTGTGCCATCAGATAAAAATTACCAGAAGTTAACAAAATGCATTTTGTGTCTTTATTCTCTAGGGCTACTAATAAGAAAATGAAACTGGGTGAGGAGCACACAATGTTGTATTATAAAGTTGTACACCTGAAATTTATATAATGTTATTAATCAATGTTACTCAATAAATTAATTTCTTAAAAAAAGAAAGAAAATGAAACTACTAAACTCAGCAGCGTTGCTCACACACAAAGGTCACCATAAGTAAGCCATCAGTCAGACATCTGTCAAATACCCTACTAGAACAATCCTCCTGTGCACCAATCCATCCACATCCTCACTCTACCTTCTCACACCGGGAACAACCCAATTTTAATGCAGCTGGCAGAGGTATGAACATCTAAGGTGTAATCACAGAACAAATCTAACTGAACCACATGCCTTTGGTCTTATAGGTTGCAGAATGAATCTTGATCTTATAACTACCAGCTCTGAGCAAGTCTAGATCTGAAAATTGGTCCTTTCTCCTCACCAAGAGACTCTCTCAACACTAGCTCACTGGACAGTGACTATCATCGTCTCAGTTACATATGAAACTCAAGCACTAACAGCAATGCAGCTATAATGGCACTGTGGCTGTCACCACTATAACAGGGCTGACTGAGCAGTAAAACTTTCCTCAGTGTAAGACGGGACAACATGGATAGACCTTGAGAACATTATGCTAAGTGAAGTCAGTCATATGTACAGAAAGACAAATACTGCACGGTATCACCTATATGTAGGCTCTAGAAAAGGCAAACTCATAGAAATAGAGAGTAGAATGGTGGTTACCAGGGGTTGGAGGGTAGGGAGTGGGGGAACAATACTGTATCAGATACCTGAAAACACTAAGAGTAAATCTCAAATGTTCTCACCACGAAAAAGAAATGGAATTATGTGAAGTGACAGAGGTGATAGCTAAAGCCAAGGTGATAATTGCACTGCAATATGTTAGTGTATCAAAACAACATGTATGCTTTAACTCTACACAATGTTATCTGTCAATTTTATCTCAATAAAGCTGAAAAAAAGAAGATGGAAAAAAAGTCACTGAAGCACTGCACATGCACACTAACCAATCAAACCAATACTTCTCATTCGTCTTATATCCTTAACAGTGAAAAAAAAAATTAATTGTACTAGGAACTCCTGTCATCTAGAAAAACTAGTCATGTAATTCTAATGCTGTCTTATAATTTTAAGTGTGTTTGTTTAAAGTAAATATGCTTTCTCTTATTTCAAAGTGACCTTATTGGTTCTTTTCATGGCACTGATAAGTGACTTTCAACCTGTGTTCTCTATTTGATGTAAACTGGGTACACTGTGTGGGCACTGTGCTCCACTCCCCCCATACACACATGCACGACACAATTTATCCCAGGAAAAAGCAAGTTAAAAGAGATTAGGAAACACTAAAGTGCCTGAAAATTTAAGGTAACTTTAAAATTTATACTTAAATACATAGTAAACCAGAGTCACAAAGACAGCTAACAACCTATTGTATGTCTCATTTTCTCTTAACAGATTCCAGAAAATCAATGGATAGGCTGAGATCAATAACATAATGATATTTCATGAATAGTATCATTACAAATGGTCAAATGCTTGTTTACAGAGCCGTGCCTGATACTGGAATTACACAGCACCACATAAAGTACACAGAACAGAATCTCAGAGATAAGAAAAGAGCAGAAGTCGGCTCATACTGCTCACAAGAGCCAACTGTTCTCATCTCTTCTCCACTTCCATTCAGTAATGTCAGGTTGGGAGCCTGAAACCAACGATAGGAGAATTTACACACTAGAAACACTAATACTAGGGTTAGCTGTCTTTTTCTTTCTTTTTCCTTTTTGCCAGTTGTTAAACATTACTATCATACCACTGAGTAAAAGTAAGTTCCTTTTTTACAAATTTGACTCTCATATTCCTTAGTGTTTCAAGTCCTTGGCTTTCTTCTTTAATTTTACACATAGTTCTCATGTGAAATCATTCAATCCTGTTCATTCAACTACCATCCCTATGCTGATAATTCCCAAATCTATATCTCAAGCTACAACTATTAAAAAAAAAAATCAAAACATAAAAATAAAAATAAAAAATATGTCTGTTACCTTAAGACTAATCTTTACATATATATCTTCACTGAACATACAATAATTTTTTTAAATGAATTTACCAATCACAAAGAAGTCCTTTATTCTGAGCCATCCCAAAGATAAATTCCTGTTTTCCTGGGGGAGACAATTCAATAATCCCTCGCTGTTTTAAGGGAATACTATGAGAGCATTTCTTGAGACATCCCAGCATTATCCTATGGGACCAACTTAGTCCCTGAGAGGAACCCTGAGAATTTCCCTTTGAATGAACTCTGACAGCAGAGCTGAGGAGGGCAATAACCAGGAAGGAGCACAGCAGTTTTAAGGGGTTTGGGGTACAGGAACAGGACCCTGAGTCTAAGCAGATAGCTGGTCAGGCTTCATCATGGAGAAGAAAAGATTCCTGAATGGACATCAACTTTCAGATTCTATGGGAAGAACTGAGGAAGTGGAATGAAAAGAATGAAGATGACATGAGGGAGAAAAAGATTTTAGCACCTATAGGTCCCTCATAACTTAAAAAAGGTTTTAAGAAACCTTTGTGGGTGACATAAAGACATACTAGACATATAATATTGAGTACTTACTCTATGCTAAGTGCTAGTCTAAGAACTTTATATTAATTACTCTAAATTCTCCTTCTAAAAATGTGTATATATGTTAAATCACTTAAACTTGCTTATATCCCATAAGACAGGCATGATTTTTATCCGCATTTTATAGTGCAGGCAACTAAAACAGAGAGAGGTTATTTAATGTGTTCATTGTAACACAGGTAAGAAGTACTGAGAACAAAAAAGATATTTATGGGTATGACCTTCAGCAATCTCAAACTCAACATGTTATAAATCAAACCGAATTTTTTCCCTCTCTGCTCTTCTCCTCATGCCCCAAACCTGTTCTTTCTTCCTCTATTTGAGGCCAGAAACCTGGAGGTCATAATTGACTACTTCCTTTTTCTTCTTTTCACATCAATCAGTGACCAAATACTGCCTTTCTCATCTCCTTAACATCTCTCATCACCATCCACTCTACCTTCATCACCTTTGTTTTGGTTAAAAGTCCTTGGCACTTTACTCTTAACATCATAATTGTAAACTATCTGGTTTCCCTTCTTGTCTCAGTCTAGCTCCCTTCTAATCCATTCTCTATACAAATGGCAGAATGTTCTTTAAAAAGTTAATATCATTCCCTTATTTAAAATCTTTCACTGGCTCAATCTTCAGGATAAAGACATTCCAAAGCACTACACAGAAAGCTTGTCATGAGCAGACCGCTGTCTATCTGGCACCCTCACCTCTCATTTCTGCACACCAGTCCCGCTGGATCCTGGTTCTTGGAATGCTGCCCATCTCCTTTCTGAAGTTGGTGCCTTCCTCTTCATCCTGCTTGCTCTGCATGGGACAACCCATATCTACTTAGCTGCCCACCCACGAACCTCTTCTTCCCTGGCTACTTCCCATTCCTCTTTTAAGACTCATGTTCCCTCCTTTGATATTCTCTCCACTCCACCTTTCAATTAGGTGCCTCTTGTGCAGGCTCCAGAATATCATAGGATTAGAACCAGCAGAGTATTATTGCACCACAATTTAATCTCCTGCTTATTTGTCTGTATTTTCCATTCTGTAACTTTTAAAATTGTTTGTTGAAACACTAAAAACTCACTGTTGGTTATAAATAAATAAGAATATAAAAGGCAATAAAAGTATTATTTATTTAGTACATTAAAATTTAAAACATTAGAAACGCTGAAAACGCAAGTTGTAAAAAAATTGCCAAGATTGCTTGCCTTCTTTTTTCATCGTAAAAGTTATACTATGTATCAAGCATCTTTTATGTGCTTTGACAAATTATACTCATTTCTAAATTTATTATCCTTTGTACTTTTAATGTCATGGATTATCTGTGAGTGTTCCCCTAGGCACTGCTTTCTGTAAAACATCTTCATCTTTTTCTTCACATTTTCCTCATTTCCATCAATAAATTCACCTTCACTGAGTTCCTCTATCTGCACAGCTTGAGTCTCTCGAACAGCGGCAGTGTCCGCATTCCCACTATGAACTACTTCTGTAACTCCGGCCATGTTAGATTTGAGTTCACTTACACTGTTATCACTTTGTTTCTTGATGCACTTTCATCTTTGTGGGCCAATCCCCTCTTTTAATTATCCATTTCTATTAAATGTCATTTGAATTTATCTCTGGGGGATAAGGCCACACAACTAGCCACTAGGCTCTCTGCGGGTGAAGTGATAACACATGTGCAGTGACCGGTCACTAACAGACTCGGAAGAGGCATAGTTGGTCACTGATCACTTGCACATCTGTTATTTACAGAGTGACTGATCTATGGAAAAGAGCTAGCAACCAAGTTTGTATTTTATGCAACTATATCAAATATACCGTGGTAACTGAAATCTAAACTGTGTTGCTAGGGAACAGGTATATTTAACTAAACTGTGGTAAAACTGAAATTCATGCATATCAAAATCATGCACAGCAAGGTCTGCCTATAGTTTAAAGCAAAAATTTAAAGCCAGATTTCTAGATATAAACTCTGCCACTGAATACTCATATGACTTTAGGTAACTCATTTGATATTTCTGGGCTTCTAAAATGGAGATAATCGTTAAAACCTCATACAGTTATTGTGAGTACTAAATCTATAGAGAATGTTTAGTGAACACTGAAAATGTTTTAGCTACTATTACCACAGCTGCTACTACAAATACTTATACTACACTGTCTATACCTGCACTGTCTAATATGGTAGCTACTAGCCACATGGGGCTATTTTCTGATTCCCTAGTTGTACAGCTTCTGAAGTCTCAGGTAACTATAATCCCTGGACAGAGGACATGTTCACAGGGCTGGAGCCACATGTCTTCCAGCTGCGTATCCAATGCTGGACTGAGTACGATACTTCCACACAGTCTTAAATAAATGTTGGTCAAATTGAATTAGCAAAACCTTATTGTAAGATAGTAAATATTAACATCAAGTTGATAAAAAAAAAAAATGTTTCTAGAAAAAAAAGGACAAAGTAATATATTTTAAGGGAAATTTTTACACCAGAAAGTCCTGAAGAGAGTCTCATAAAGAAGTGACCAGTTATGTTACACCCAATTTTATTCAAAAAGAGCAAACTTTAGTAGAAAGTGATTATGACAGAATTTTAGAAAAGGTTTGTGGTTATAAAAGAAATAAAATAATTTCCCTTATAAATTTTATAACACAAGTCCCAAGGGAGCATTTTCTAAACTGCTCTTAAAAGAAAAAAATTATGTTAACACACTATGCTAAACCTAACATTTGAAACAGATATTTTTTCAAAACCTTAACGAATATGTATTTTCTTTAATTGATACAATAATATACTATGTCAGCTTGTTGTTACAAATCTTTTAAAAATTACTGAAATAATCTTATTTTTTTTAAAGATATTGTGGTTTAATGACAACTTTTTTAGTGAAAATAACATCACTAAGTAAAAAATATCCTTCCAAGACCTTAATATGTCTGACTATGCTAATATAGAAATAGCTTTAGTAAATGTTTATTTGGGTTGAATTCAGAATATGTTAATTTCAACCAAGTTCGTCACTTGGTTCGCACACGAAAACAAGGCAAAATCTCAAGGCAAAAAATAACAACAAAAACAACAACAACTAGAAAGAAAAATATTTAAAGTGCTTTTAAACTCATAAATTTAGGATGAAATCCAAGTAGTCAAATTCTGCTACCAAAGAAAGCCTATGTCAAATTAAAGCTACCTTTTAGAAAATACTTTCTTATCAGAGATCCCTAGATTTATGAACAGATATTTACAAAAAGAAAAACCTCAGTAAGCTCTGTTCACGGGAGTAAATTAAGCTAGAAGTGTAAAAACTAACTTGATAACACAGTCCTACTTGCACAGAATCACTAAAGATGTGATGTGATGGTTCTTAAATTTTTTAGTTATTAACTCTACTATGGAGAAATCATATGCCATACTTATTTTTAAAAATAAGATTCCTTTGGGCATTACTGCTCCTTGTCAAATGTTTACTAAATGCGTGAAAGAGGAAAACTTATTTTTAAGCCATTAATATTATAATAAGAATTGATTCATTTGATGGGTTTCTTTCAAATCAGCATAAGTACCTTGGAGCTAGGATGTCAGGTAAGTGGAACCCAAAATTTAGCATATGTCAGTTTCTCTTGGCCTACATTTTTACAAAAGTCTCAGAGTTAGAAACACTCTTAAATATGCAGCTGCCTTAAGTTTGTTTTGGAAAAAGGCAAGGTATAGATAAATAAATGACACTTAAGTATCTGTTATCCTAGTAGCTGATATTATGTGCATTAACACTAGTAGATACTTGAAGATGCTTTTTCAGGTTTTTGTTCAATGATAATCCTGGCTACCGCCTCTGTGCTTTTCTGTCTTTGATGATGTTATTTATATACTGGTCTTTATGGTAGCAAATACTACTTCTTAAGAAGTATACTGGCTTTTTTTCAAATTATGATTTCTCATAAGTAAAATGTCAACAGAAATGAAACATTAATTATCAATGTTTTAATCTTTATATTCTTTAAATCATTACCTAGAAATAAATACTAAATCATTATTTAGAAATAAATATTAAAATGTAACTTACTGTCTTGTTCTGTGAAATCAGATCCACGAATTATATTAAAGCTTGTTATAAAGTCCATAAATAGTTTTGGGTAGTACGACAAAACTTACTGTTCAGAACATTCTCCAGTTTTTGCGTCATGGATCCTTCTACTTTTTCTGTTCCATCTGCTTCTAGTTTTTGATGGATGGCTAGAAGAAAAAAAAAAAAAGTCTAGTTAAAATGTATGCTATTTTAATGAATGGGAATACATTACATCAAAATGACATTTTTGAATAGCTTTTAAAAATGGTCATATTATTTTCACTGCTGGAAGAAGCACAAACATGTAAAAACTCTGTACAAACTCTGCAAAGTAATCAGCATACACCAGTCCAAATTATTCTGTTTAACACTATTAAAATAGTACATTATACATATAATCATCATGCTCACTGTTGAATGGTAAAAACAGTTGCATTACAAAAGAAAAGTAAGACTTAAGTAACTTTTATATTTGGCCACAGGAAAGTCACTTATTTCTCAGTTTCAGAAATACTACTATTTGACGTCTATCAAACTCAAAGTATCGAACTTCGACCTTGAAACATAATATAGCAAAAGGTATTCATGTTCTATTCATTCTGTAATTATTCCACTGGAGGTTCCCAAGAAACATCTAGTAATATCTACCAATAATACATCAATTTGTGGATATACAAATTACGCTAGGGGTTTTTGCTATGTTTTATATTAGCTTCAAGTACACAGTACATTGGTTAGACATTTCTATAGTTTATAAAATGATCCCCCTAATTGCTCCTTCTTGCTATTATTGATATATAACTACACAGTTCTCATAAAGATTATTAGGAAATCATTTAATAATTTATATTTCAAAACTTTTTACCTCCCAAATAGGGGAAGATTTAAACAGAGCAGTAAGAGAATTTTCAAAACAAAATGGCCAAATACAATTTCAAATTCAAAATTCTGATATCATAAAAATAACATAGCAAGAAAAATATTGAGCCATGGCCATAAGTTAAGTACAATGATAAGTTTCTAATGCATATTGCTCATCTTGTAAGAGGCCAATTATGTATGTTCTAAAATTATTTCTATTTCACAGATGGGAAAATCATGACTCAGTAAAATTAAACAGGTTGATCAAGGTCACAAAGCCAAACCCAAAATTTGAACTCAAGCAGTCTGATTCCAGAACAATAAACTTCACCCCCATACTGCTCATACTGCATGACTAAGCAGCATAAACTGTTTAAGCCTCTGTTTTCACATCTGTACAATGAAAACAACAGACTTACTATGTCAGTTGGGAACTGCAGTCAATTGCAAATAAATGGACCTTAAAAGTAATAGCTGCTAAAACACCCAGGATTTTATTTTTTCACATAACCTGCTCAAGTAAACTCACATGCAAGATATGTAATTCCAAAGGCCTCACGGCCAGTATACTAAAATTATTGTTACTCTTATGTTTGCTATTCTCTAATATTCAAATAGAGCATCAAACTCTTTCATAATAGGCATTTACAGGTTCTGCCTCAACCCACCAGTCATGGGTGGCAGATGTATGGGGGAGGGGAAAGTCTAAGAAAAAAAAAAATTTTAATATGTATTGTAATTACGATTCGATTTGTTTCCCTTGATTCATTGGTTGGAAAATTTGGGTCAAATTCAGTGATCAAATACGGTATGAACATATATTCTCAATGCAAGATAACATCTATTTCTTGGCTTCATTTAATTAGTTTCTAATACTGATCTTGTCCCTTTTTACACTTTTTTTTGTAAAGCAACTTCAAATTTTATTTGAAACTATAAAATAGACCACTTCTCTGTTGAAGAAACACATTCATAGAAAAATACATTTGGGGAAAAAAAATCAGCCACTATATTTTTAATTGTCTTCATTGATTTGGGAATGGAAAAAGTTATTCCTTTAATGTTTTAAATTTGGAATAAGTGGTAATGGTAACCTAAAATGTCTTCAAATATCAAAGCCTAACTTGTACTTAAATGGAAAAAAATTTCCCATCTTTAAGAAAGAAGATTAAAAAGCAAGACTAGAAAGACTTCCATGTTCTAAGCAAATATGCTCACACTATTTATTTAAATGTTGTAATTTTTCTGACAGTCCTGGTTGCAAAAGAACATTTGGCACTCATTGCAATTTATTAAGCAGGCACTTCATGCAGTTTGTCCATGACAATAAGATATTGTATCTTATAGTAGCCCTGATTCAAATGCTACTTTCTAAGTCAAAACTAGCTTTAAAAGGAAATCATGCAACCACATATTCTGTTGCTGACAAAACCCATCACTGATCAGCAGGTCAAGATGAGGTGAACCCGGCTCCCCGGAGCTCAGTTTACAGCCCTGTTCTGCTGACAAGGCAGCTTCCTGCCTCCCATCTCCACCACAGCAGAGCCACTGTCAAACTGTCAGCCAGGCCTGAGGACCAAGAGACACTGGGATCTGATAAAGGCAATCCTATTTTCCAGAAAATTAAACCAAATAAACAAATGGCTGGTTCACTTGATCTTTTATTTTCTCTGAAAACATTTTTAAATAGTATAACTCAATAAGCAACATAGTACATGATAACAGGTTTGTTATTGTTTCTAATCTATTGAAAGTGAAGCAGTTGAACTTCATAAATTTATATTTGAGAAAAAAGTATGTATATAAAAGTTCTATTCAAAGAAAAATCAGTTATAGAAAGACTGCCTACTGATTCACTGAAGTTATGATGTGAACTCTAATAAAATGTAGACGTCAAATATGCAAATTTGAATTAAAAATCATAATATTTGTTCATGCATTCATATAATATCATTATTAAATAAAGCACTAAGATATGACATGTGTATATGGCAATGTCTATAAGGATTCAGTGTCGGGTACACTGTGTGTATATACTCTAAGCACTATATGTTACTACTCGCCAGTATGACATAGGAATAGTCAAACTAGGTCAGAGATTGACAAACTATTTCTATAAAGAACCTATAGACTAGTGATTACCAGAGGGTAAAGGCTCGGGGAGAGAAGGGAGATAGACGGGGTAAAGGGAGTCAAATATAGGGGGTTAGGGGGAGGATGAAGTGGGTAAAGGGGATCATATATATGGTAGCTGAAGGAAACTGGACTTTGGATGGTAAACATACAACAGAATATACAGATGTCAAACTATAATGTACACCTGAAAATTATATAATTGTATTTACCAATGTTACCTCAACAAACTTAATTAAAAAAAAAGAAAAAAGAACCAGACAATAAATATATTAGGCTTTGTGGGATACATAGGGCCTCTATCCCATATTCTTCTTCTTTTTAAAAAAAAGCATTTGAAAAAGATAATCATGTTTAGCTCATAGCCTGTACAAAGATAGGCTGGGGCCTAATTTGGCCTATGTGCCAGCCTCTGAGCATAATACTTACTTACTAGGAAGGGTTAGAGTAAGATGTATTAATAATTTAAATTTATAAAGAACTTTTCAAACATTTAGTTTCTACTTCTTATTCTACCAAATTTTTATGAGAGTGGCTAAATCACATATAAATTATATTTAAACTGGTTAGGTAATCTGTGAATCTTTTCCTTCCTCGGTTATATTGAAAAGAAACAATAAATAATAATAAAATTAAAACTACTACATAGAACACTAACAGGTATAAAGGGTTTTTATTTAGATAACTGGGTCTTATATAAGCATACTTGCCTAGATTATCTTCATACATCAACAGACACTAACAACAGAATGTGCCAAAAAAAATCAATATGACTCACATGACCTGGAATAGGAGCAATAAAAGTAATATGGGAATGAAGACCAATTGTGTATCAAGCAAAATGTGTTTATTCACTCTTTTTTGGCCTCTTTATTCTGGTATTCTTTACTCCAGTATAATCAGAAAGAGGAATAATTCATATAATTTTGGCCCATAGTTATTCTCAAAAGGAACAAGTGATAATGCTGAACTTGCCACTAAAAAACAAGTGACTGTTGAGATGACAAACTCAAGGGGCAGTCAGGGAAATGGTCACCGAAATAAAAGTAGCAATCATATGGCACTGAGGGAGTGAAGAAGGCCTTTAACGTTATAAGAAGCTATACGAACATCACCATAACCTGGGAGAGCTTGTGTGAGCAGTAGCTGGTAAGAAATCAAGGCTCATTAAGACTTCAAGTGATTGAAAGAGAATGGCAGAATGACAGCCATGGAAAAGTGAAGTATGATGCTAAGAATATTTTTGTAGGATATCGTAAAGAAAAAAATTGTAATAAACACACTGAGGTTAACACTGGCAGATTAGTTATGCCAGACACACTATGGTCAAGTTCTAATTAAAATACTCATGGGACACAGAAGAAAAAAAGACAAAAGCATGAAAACTTAAAGATAAATAAAGGCTATACAAGAGGGTAATAGCTACTACCTGTTAACCTTACTGGAATAGACTAAAAATAAAAACCTTGGACTACGTACGAAATAATCAAAGAGAAGAAACAGATAATAACAAAATGGGGGAAAAAAGTAGTTCGATTATGCTCTATCATCTCTATCTAGCTTAACACTCTAACGCAGGGCTGACAGAGACCAAAAAATCTTCAATGTTTTTTCTTTATGACTATAGTTCAGCTCCCCATTTTTTTTCCACTTCCAATAACATCTTTCCTTTCACAACCATTTAGAGACCATATTTCCCAACATCCAGCATGGCAGAAAATGGAAGGAAACTAGTAAAGGCATTTTCTTGCTGGGCAACTTAGCATTCTACTAAAAAACAGAAAGGGTACTGAACACCATGCAGGGTAGCAGAAGGAAAAGAGTGATATTTTTATGAAAGGATATTCAGAGACAAACCATAAATAAAATCTGACTTAACAAAAAAAAAGTGTTAAAATTTGAAGGTAGTCTACAGATTCTAAAAGCTTATCAAATATTAGGTAACATGAATAAAAACAAGACCTACATTCCAATATAACCTGGTATGTATTTCTTTTTTAAATTCAAGGCTAAACAAATATATCTTTTAAGCATTTAGGTAGAGAAAAACAATCAACTCTTCTACAAGCAATAAAGAATTGCATTGGCTCCGGACTTCCTCTCTGCAGCATTAAAAGAAACTGGATCAATGTTTCTGGAAAATAATTCTCTTACAGCCAAGTGGTTGTTCATGTGTGAAAACAAGAGACATTTCCAGACATGCAAGAATTCAAAAGGCATAGCACAAAAGACATAACCCATAGTTAAAAACAAAAAATTCAAAGATAGGAAAAAAAAATAAACTGACAGGCAATAAACATTAAAGCCAATTAAATTTATGCATATATGGTAAATTTTAAATAACTGTAGTAAATATGTTATAAACTTAAATGCAAAAGACAAAAAGTCTTTTTGTCTTTTGAAATACGAAATATTCAAAATGAAATAGAAAAAAAATGGTAAAATAAGCAGCTGGGTCTATAACTTCAGATTAAATTAAGACCAGAAAAAAAGAAAGCGCATGAGAAATAAAGATGTGCACAACTGTTGTCATACACAACAGGAGTCAAAAGACAACCTATAATAAAATTTAAAAACATTTCTCCCAAATCTGCAAACAATACAGTCTACATAGTACAGAGGGAAAAATGAAAAACAAAAAACAACAAGAGAATAAAACAAAAGGACAAAAATTTTAGTTATGATACATGTATATCACTTAAATTCCTCTATTAAAAGGCAAAGAGTCTCAAAATGGTATAAAAAATAAAACTACTACATGTTGCTTACAAGAGAGATGCCCAAATCAAAATTTCTTAAGGTTAAAAAGTACATAATGCCTACTATATTAAACAAACGCATATAAAAGGAAAGTTGTGGAATGTCAATAGTGTGCTATTGTGCAGAACAGAATTTAATCTTGCCAGAGAGTTCTAGCCTTATCCTGGGCTTCTGGAAAGTAATCTCTAAGCTCTTTGAATGTCTTACCTGATAAAGTGTCTTATTTACTTGGGGGCCTTGGGCCACACCATATAATCTAACAATATGATTTACAGTGAGGACTATGGGTCACTCAGTATCAGCTCAACCTCCAGAAGGACTGAAGAGCTCAGTCACTGGGGCAGTTGACTATGTTGATGTAACAGAGCCCCAGTAAAAACTCTGGACACCAGGCTTGGGTCAGGCTGGCAATACTCTATGTACGTTGTCTCACATCATTATAAGGAAAATCAGTGCTGTCCATGACTCCATTTTGAAATGACAACTGGACGCTCCATGCATGGAACTTTCCTGGACCCTGCCCCATAAGTCTTTTCCATTGGCTGATTTTAATCTGTACTTCTTCGATGAAATAAATCATAACTGCAAGTACAACAGCTTTCAATGACTTCTGTGAGTCCTTCTAGCAAACTATCAAACCTGCAGGTGGTCTTGGAATTGCCCCTAATTTTGTAGTTATTATTATTATATTAAAATATTAGTTTCAAGATAATCCAAACCACCAAAAGTTACAAAGTACACATGCTTTTCATACAAAGAATCAAAATTAAAGAGGGAGGTTTGTCTGACATGTTTATTTTAAATAACCTAAATTTAAATAATATAATTAATCACTGATATTCTATCAAACAGTGTGTCCTAAAGAGACTATGCCCCACCCTCCATTTTTATCTTTGGCGCACTAAGAGAAAATTGACATATATTAAGGAACACATTTGCTTTCATAATAAGACTAAAACTAACTTTAAAAAACAAAAGTCTATTACAAACTACTAGATCAAAGAGGAAAATTAAAATTTCAACTTTTGAAAATACAAAATAGTTTCACTAAACAATCAATGTAAATAAAGTAGAACACAAAAAATGAATTGATAATGAGAAAAGACCTAGAATATAAATTTTAAATGATTTAAAAATTATAATGCAATGCTAAAAAACCTGAAAATCTTGATGGAGAGAATTTCAGGGGAAAACCAAATCAAAATAAACAAAACACAAAAAATAGAATTTTCAAAAACATATATATACACAACTGCCAGTGTCCAACCCATCTGAACCCACTGAACCATCATAGTGTCTCTACAGGAGGAACAAGCAGACACTAATGGCCTCCTGATGTGATAAAACAGAAAGCACACAGTACCCACATGTGGCCAAAATTGTTGAAACTGCATAATATCTAATGTCCAATTAGATAAGTCTAAACAATATAATGGAGAGTAAAATAAGTTAAAAGACACCATGAGAAAGTAATCAGTCAAATCCAGAGTATGGAACAAATAAGCCTTTTTTCTTCAATAAATCATCAGTATGGGGAAAAAAAAAAGAAAAGAAAAGAAAAAGTAACAAAGGTGAAAAGATTCTTTTAGTATAAAAAAGCTTAAAAACCTAAAAAGAACAAATGAAAAACCAAACCTGGACTTTATTTACATCTTGATTTGGACAAACCAACTATAAAAAGGAAAGTCAGAGGATAATTGGAGAAATTTAAATTTGAACTGAGAAGTACATGATATTAAAGAATTACTGAAACTTTTGTTAGCTGCGATAATGGTACTGTGGTTATGTAGGTAAATGTCCTCATTTGGGGGCCTCATACTAAAGTCCATAAAACAGAAATGTCATACTGCTAGAGATTCATTGCTTGAGAGCGGCAATACACAAAACAAACCAACCATCCTTAAAAAACACTGACGAAGCAAGTATGGAAAAATATTCAGAACTGTTAAATCTAGGTAACAGGTATGTGAGGGTGACTGTACTATTCTCTCTACTTTTAAAGCATTCGAAATTTATCATAATAAAAAAAGTAAAACAAATTACTTGAACAATTTACTAGCTCTTTAAATATATTAGCTCTTTCAAATTTCCATATATAATTCTTAATCTATATAATCCAGTTATATGATTCTATATAATGTAAACACCAAAATCTGATAAAAAAATCATTTTTAAAAATCACAGATCAATTTCACTTAAGACTATAGCCAGAAAAATTTCTAAAGAGCTACTAATAAATCAAATGCTATATGTAAAATAATCACCCAGAGGAACAATTGAAAGAATAAAGGTTTCTAGCATATACAACTGTATATGTAATTCTAATTTTGTAATATGAATTCATATAAAATATCTCTACAATGGGATTACAGTAGTTCCTTCTTATTCAACCATTTAATATTTTTTGTAGTATGCATTTCATTTACATCAAAAAATGTGTCTAAAATTTTCAAATGTACTAATAAAATCATTTTCTATATGCAATAATCACTTGCTTAGTAGTAGTTAGTTGGTCAGCATTATTTTTGTTAAAATTTTAGGTCACCAATGTGAACAATGTGACCAACACACAATGGGTCACATTTATAGAATTAGTAACATGAAAAATATTGATGGCTGTAAAAGGATGTTTTAAATTCTAGAATTTTCCCCATTGAGATTCAATTTCTTATTGGCCTTGGAGACTGGATATTGTGGAGAAATAAAGTAGTCTCATATTTCACACATGTATGATGGGTCTACAAAAGCCTCAGAGAAAAATATTTAAAGTACCAAGGCTTCAAAGAGATTCCAGCCTACTCAGCAACAAATATTTATAGCACATTTTAGATCTCTATTTTTATGAATACAGACCCTGTAAACACTCTGCAAATGCAGTGTTAGGTTTCTGCTGTGGAAGCCCCAGCACATGGCTCTGAGAATCACCTTACCTGAGAGAGCATCCTGGGCTTCAAAGAATGTACTAAGACCGCCTTTCACATACGCCAAGCTGCCTTCACTCTTCTTGTTAGCCTGTCTCTTCAGGTGGGTAACTGCCATTTTGAGCTGTTCAAAACTGAAATGAAATGAAGAAACCAAAATTTTGAGAATCCTAACAAGCAAAATAGAAGACAACTCATTAAGTGTAAAATACTGAAGCCTACATTAAGAAAGATACAAACAGATATAACATGTAACCAGATGAAAATCAAAGTTTTCACATTCTTACCTATATCTAAACCTTTTATTATGAATACAAAATTATAGCAGCTAGGAAAGAGATTAGTAGCCCTCAAATAGTCATTCCAAATATATCAGACCCCTATAAAGTAAATATACCTGTATTTTTATAACTGATATAACGTATATATGATTTGCCAGGTAAGGCGTTCTGAGTATCATCTCCCTGGTGGGAAGGCTTAGATCATGGTAGACGCTATCTAAGACAGGACTTTCTCTGTATGTTCATTTCTGTATTCTGGATACAAAATGAGCATACTGTTATCCTAAATGAGCCAGTCATTAGGAGTGAAATTACAGAAAACCTGAGGAAGAGAGCATCAATTCACAATTTAAATAACTAAAAAGACCACAATATTTTATCTCTACAACTCAACTAGAGAAAAATATATAGTCCTCTGTATTTCAGAAGTTTTAATTCCATTTGAGCTAAGAAAATCTAGCTATAAAACTTTGAATACATTGAGTACTATGATAGGCTTATCCAGAAAAGAGATCAATTCTGACTCATAGTAATAGAAAAACCACATCCATAATGTGAAATTAGAACCATCTTCTACAATGAAAGATTTCAGACATTTGCTTTAAAGATTTATCAGGCCAAATTTATTCTCTGTATATACCAACTTTTCTTCATGTCTTCTACTATTGTAATAGTTTGCATTCCAATAGGAAAAAAATTTCTCCAAAGGTATATTTTAACAAGTTAACTTTTCAAGAATAAAAGTTTTATGCAACAAACCATTTAGTCAAACATTTTTACTAAATATAACTGTTTTAAACCAGTCTTGCAAAAAAAGTTACAAATCTGACCTTGCATAGAGAGGATCAAATGTCATTAGCAGACAAAAATGAGTACTTTAATTTAGATATATGATGTTGTATATTTTTTGCCTAATTTTAAACCAGGTCTCTGTAAAATGATAAACTAACTCATCCTCTTTTGCTCTACAGTAACGGAAAGAGGTGTGTTCACTATTTTACACCAAGACTTGAAAGTTTTGTTATTTGAGTAAGCAAAAGTCACATTCAGACTTCAGGTTAGGTATCCAGCTGAGACTCCACAAAGTTTTAATGGGTTGCACAAATAATGAAACATGTAGAAAAAACATGATAGTAGGAAATAAGGGTACTCTAATAATCACATTTTATAAATAAGGAAATAGATACCCCGAGATGTTCATGAGCTCACCCAAAATCAAAGGGCTCCAAAGTAGCAGAGTTGAACCTAAAACCCACATTGTTTTATAATCCTATTAGCTGCATCCGAGTGAAACCATTCACAGCCAACAGTCCAATATCACTAACCTGGTAGTTGAGTGGTTCTCTATAAGATACCAGGCAGCTGAAAAATTCTCACTTGTAAAATCAGCACTCATTCCAGGAAACAGCATTTCTAAGTCTTTCTGGGGAAATTTACATCTGAGGGAAAAAAAAAGTTTAAAATATATTTCAAGTGTTACTACCACAAGGACGTAACTGACGTCCAGTGTAATAAACACAAATACAAATCATTATAATTATACGCCATACAATATGGAGCCTATGTTTGTATGTATACACAAAATATATTTCCTGCACCTCAGCTGATTTATTCTCATATCAACTTTGATTAAATATAAGATAGGAAATTAGTTAAAATATAGAAATTACATCAATACAAGAATATAAGATTTAAAGAGGCTAAAAGTTGATACTTTATGAAATCTAGCCAAATATGAAATCATTCCCTACGCAAAGGATGAAAAATAAAAACTTGGATACATCGAAACTAAAAAACATTAAAGCAGTTTATTAAAATGATTTTTGTTAAAGACCTATGTGAAAGCTGTTTTAAGGCATACTAATAATGCTGAATGATAATGCCTATTAATAAAATTAAATCTAGCTATACAGTACTCATTTTTAAATGTCCATATCTGAAATAATTTTAAGAAAAGCTTATAACAAGTAATACATTATCTGCAGCTCATTTTCTTGCCTACATTTTAAGGTCGACTTCCAGATCAATTCATTTATTTATTTGTTCAAATACTAATTATCAACTATAGGTCAGATTCCATGCTGGAGGTCAGAGAGTTGTGTCTGAGAGCAAAAGCACTATGGGCAGACTTTGCCCAAAGAGGGCTTATGAGCTAGCAGCCCTTACTATATCTCCATCTGTGCAGGATAAAGTCCAAATTCTGTAGTCAAGTCTATGATCTGAACTTGTTTTTCTCTCAAGATTCATCTCTGCCACTCTAATCTTCAAACCTGAAGCTTCAGCAACTTCAAAGGGATTATACTTTCCTGCACACATGGTGTTCGTTTTTACTTTGTTCCTCCGATCCTGCTGTGCCTTCTGACTGAACTGTGTTCCTTACCCCCATATAATGGATAAGCCCAACTCACAGGGTATGAATAGGACATTATTTTAAAGGCCAGTACCTCTTTAAAATTTATTCAATGCGAGAAATTATCCTCATCCTGGAAGAAAATGTAGGCAGGTCTGATGACTTCTACTCACTCTTATCTGAGAGTTTTGATCCACATTATTATAAACATAGCCTCGATTCAGAAATCAGGCAACCTAGTCCAAGATCAGCATTTTCATCCAAAAGTACTACCTGCTTGAGCCTCTTGACTTGCAGGTAACCAGTTCCCTTAAGCACAACTTTGCAGTGCCTGGAGCCTACTCTCTCATCTGGTCCCAGGAAACACCCTTGCCAAGGCAGACACCTCCACTGCTCACATGCACTGGTCTAGTGCTCTTGAGTGCCAGGGCTTCTGGCTCATGAACACTTTTACCTGGAGGCTCCGTAGAAGCCCCACTCACCAGGCATGAGTGAAGAAGAGCACATATTCTCACAGCCTAGCTCTCAAGAAATCTTATAAACCTTCCCCCTTCCCTACTGGCTCCTTTATCCCTTCATACTCCCTAAAAGTACAGGAACGCAAGCAGCAAAACCAGTTCCCCACAATTTCCTTTGTAAATCCTGCACTTTAATCTAGAATCCAACATTTATTGTATCAGGGCCTCAGACAAGAGAGAAAAAGTCCCACATACTATGACATCTTCTTTTTTAATTAGGGGGAAAGAAAGCCCTGATTAACATTGTAGTAACAGATGAAAAGATGAGAGAGACTTTAAGCGAATCATGGACATAAAGCTGGCATCATCTCAGTTTTAGTAACTCAGAGACTAGGTCAACCTTACATCTTTTTTCACTGGCTTAAAAAATTAAAATATTACAGTCTAAATCGTGTGTGTGTGTGTGTGTGGCATAAGTTTGGTGGTCATTTCAATAGACAGAGCCTTTGAAAGGAAGCTAGAGAACTCTGTATTTTTAGAAGTTTATTTTGGTTTGGATTCTTCATGCTAGTTTGACACTTCTCTCATTTTATTTATTTGTAAATGATGCTTCCGTGGTAGAATTTTTGGAGAACGTAATGACTGAGTGGAGACTTAAGCTGAGCCCTAGCTAAATAACTAGAACCCTTCCCTCTGATACACATAGGCTATATCCCATAGTTCTACCTTAACTAGTGAGTAGTGTCTGTCTAGAATGCTGTTTCAAGATTTATGTGGCTTTGTCTAAACTGGAAACTACGGCATGATAAATTATTGCCATCTGTCATCTGCATGAGGAAGATGTGCATGGTGGCATGCTTATGACTTTTCTGTCAACCTTACTTCTGTACGATACTTAAACTGGAGTTCTATGTAATCCTAACAATTCGCTTTCTCATAAAGTTAAATTATTTTAAGAGTCAAAAAGTACAACAGAATCACTTGGTATCAACTAAATCCCTAAGTCTTTACAAATTATTCAACTATGTGAAATCCTAATCTAATAAGGAGGAGTTCCAAACTCAAAGATTAAAGACAGGGCTAACAAAAAAGCAGCAAAAAGGAATTCTGAGAAGCCAACCTGAGCTTCTTTTTCTTCCACTCAAGCCCTGTAGTTTGATTTTGGTTGGGTGGTTTTCTATCCATATCAAACCAGAAGTGTGAAGGAGGGGTTGCTAGAGTTAAGAATGACATCAAAAAAAAAAAAGGATCTATGATATAATGATAGCAAGTAAAGCAAAAAAGCATAAAACGCAGATACAAAACTCAAAAATACAGCAGTTACATGGCATAATGAAATGTCTAAAACTACACAGACCCCAAGGTCTGACAGTTAAGTCATGTTCAATCTATTTAGTTAAAAAAAAATAAGGTCTATGGCCATGCCACCCTGAACATGCCTGATCTCGCTGCATCTCAGAAGCTAAGCAGTGTTGGGCCTGGTTAGTACTTGGATGGGAGACCACCTAGGAATACCAGGTGCTGTAGGCATTAAAAAAAAAAACAAAATTGCATTTGTCTTTCTCTGTCTAGAATAATGAGATCAAGGTCTATCCATTTTGTTGTAAATGGCAGAATTTCCTTCTTTCTCATGGCTGAACAATATTCGTGTGTGTGTGCAAGTGCGTGTGTGTGCGTGTGTGCGTGCGTGTGTGTGTGTGTGTGTGTGTGTGTACCACAATTTCTTTACCCATTCATCCATCAATGGACACTTAGGTTGTTTACACAACTTGGCTATTGTTAATTATGCTGCAATGAACACGGGAAGCATATATCTTTTCGAGTTACTGCTTTCATTTTCTTTGGACGTATACTAGAAGTGAAATTGCTGGGTCATATGGCAAGTCTATCTTTATTTTTTGAGGAACCTTCATACTGTTTTCCATAGTGGCTGCACCAATTTGCATTTCCACCAACAGTGTACAAAGGTTCCCTTTTCTCCACATCTTCACCAACAATTGTTCTCTTTTGCCTTTTTGATAAGAGCCATTCTAACAGGTGTAATGTGTGATATCTCATGGATTTGCATTTCCCTGACAATTAGTGATTTCCATTTCCCTGACAATTAGTGATTTGAACCATTTTTTCAAGTACCTGTCCATCTGTGTTGTCTTTTTTAGAAAAAGCTCTTCTGCCCATTTTTCAAATTATTTTCATATTTTTGAAAATTTTTGTTCTTGAGTTGTAAGTGTTCTTTATATATTTTGGATATTAACCCTTTATCAGATTTGAAAATATAAGCCCCTTATCAGATCTAAGGGATATAAACCACTTATCAGATTTTCCAAAAAATATATGGCCTATTAAAAAAAAAAGTTAAACTCATAAAAAAGGCTAGAGCATAGGAGAAATAAAAAGAGGGTAGTAAAAGAGTACAAACTTACAGCTAAAAGATGAAAAAGGTCTCCAAGGATCTAATGTAAAACATTGTGATTATAGTTGATAAACTGTATTATATAATTAAAATTTTCTGAGAGTAGAATTTAAATGTTCTCATCAAAAAATACTAAATAAATATTTGAGGTGACAGATGTACTAGTTAACTAGATGGCTGGAATCCTTTCACAATGTATATGTATATCAAATCACCAAGATATGTACTTTAAATATCTTACAAACTTGTCAATTATGCCTCAATAAAGCTAAATTTAAAAAAAAAAAAACTGGATATAAATGGCATGTATAAAAAGGTCATATCCTAAACAGTTAAAATGCTTAAACAGGTGACACTGAAAGTTGTAAACCTGAAGCTATCTAGAACTTCACATATTTAAAATTCATCTGATTCTTAAACCTTAGTAACATTTAATTTATAATGTACTAAACTGTTATTTTTACAAATATAAGTAGATGTTTTATCACAAGATAAAGGCCTGATGTCTAGTAAGGGCTCTAGGAGATAAGCCAGTTGAGAAACTCTCCTACCCCAGGAGTCTCTCCCTCTATCCCTTCTCCTCAAGAGGGAGCAGATGTGGGCCTGGCCACATTCCAGAACACAACTGGGGACACATTCTTTAGCAGCAGAGTCTTCTGGCAATAAAGAGAAGTACATGGGGCATGGTCAGGCCTCCATGGGCTCCTCATCATTGACATACCCTGCCACTAGCAAGGCAAAGGTGGGAGGAAGAAGGGGTGGAAGATCCTGAAACTGAGCTTTGCCATTAGTGTGAGTGGTGAGGGGGCACCTTCGACCTTTGGAATAGGCCTTGTGCTTCTACCAGAGAGCTCTACACTGAGATTTGAAGCATTAATCCACCTACTAGTATCTCATTTCCCATGTACTATTATTTCTCATACAGGTAGCAACTTCAACCATCTAAATGGATCAAGTAGAGTTTGAAAAGTATTGAATCTCTTGGTCAAAATACTACCTCCTAGTTCCGAAACTTTCATAATCACCCCTAAGACTGAGTTTATTTTACAATAATTTCTTACTAAAGACATTAAACTCTCTTCCAATTTTATTATATATATTTAAATTGAAAGAACAGTATTGAGACTTACACTAAGAATCAAACTTATAACGATAAGATAAATCATATTAAAGATGACAAAATTCTAACATGGAGATGTCAAATAATTAGCCCCAAAT